CTGGAACGAGTTACCTCTGCTTGTCAGACAGGCCCCCTCCCTCTCGGTTTTCAAGTCCCGTTTAAAAACTCACTACTATTCAGTATCTTTCAACACCAGATGATCTGTGTTTGATCCTGTATGCTCCACACTGGTTTGTCGTCATTATCTGCATTGTTTTTTTGTCTATATTCTGATTTACCTCATTTTGTATTTTGCTTTGTGTGTTACCTGTTGTTCTGTCTGTACAGCACTTTGGTTGGCCTTGTCGCTGTTTTAAGTGCTCTATAAATAAAATGGTATGGTATGGTATATTGTGAATTTATTCACATGCACAGGTGGGTGTTTTCCTGATTTGGCGGGGGGGCTCTAAGGACCTTTACCGTTAGATATTATTTAAGTGTGACCCCCCAACAAACTACTAGTTTTAAAAAGGAGTGTTGCAAATAATTCAGCATATTTACTTGGGATTAATGAGATTAAAGTGTGTGTGGTTCAAAGTGAACGGCTGATCAGAGGTCTGTCTCTCACCAGATCCGATGTACAACGTCCTGTAGCACATGCTGACAGCCCCGCCCCTTCCTGTTAGAGGGTAGAAGACCGCTCGGACCTGCACCTTCTTCTGTCCTGCTGACAACATCATCAGATCACACACCGAGCCGTTCATGGGCAGCACAAACACAAACACAGGTCACATCACGCTCTTACTGTCAGAATGTGGGGGCAGACTTTTTGAGGCAGCACTGGGAGCTGGTAGAGGTGGAGTGCTGGGGGCTTTGGGGGGGAACAGCTGCTGGATCCGCTGATAGGCCAGCAGCTTAATGAGATCTGCATCCAGCCGGTCCAGCTCGATCCCTGCACACACACACACACACTACCTCAGGGCTGTGGCCAACAGTCTGCACAAGTCATCACATGGATCATGACAGCTCCTCCACATCAGGACAGGACTGTAGTGGACACATGTTTCACTGAAGTCACATCTTATTTTCCTCAACGTTTCAGTAACGAACAACTTTTCTCTGCATCATCAGTCAAGTTCCTGAGAGCTCTGTCCAAACTGTGGCGGTGGAAAAACAAAACTTGTTGTCAAAGACGACAAAGAAAGTCAACATGGCTGACGTTAAAACGGTGGTTTGTAAACGAAGTGTTTTTTTGAAGAGTGACGTAAAGACAGCAGGAAAACTAAACGCAGCTCTTCAACAAGTTATTGACCGTCTGCTACAATAATCATCAAACTGTTGTAGGAATCACATGAAGGAAAACCCCTCCTGATGGGTACAACACACGCTCCACACTGGTTTGTCGTCATATTTATTATCTGCATCGTTTTTATGTCTATATTCTGATTTACCTCATTTTGTATTCTGCTTCGTGTGTTACCTGTTGTTCTGTCTCTACAGCACTTTGGTTGGCCTTGTCGCTGTTTTAAGTGCTTTATAAATAAAATGGTATGGTATGGAAGGATGGATAGTGAGGGAGCGAGCAGCGTGTTTCTCTAAGAAAAATGTGAGGGAGGCCCCTCGACGTGACATGGGCTGTCTTGGGTTCTCAAGAAGGTGGACGCTCGGTGTGGTTTGAGCTCTTTAGCATTTTTCACACAAAGATTTTAATTTAAAAAAAATTCGTAAACAAGTTCTCAGCTTCTTTTTACAGAGAAAAACAACTTTTTACACAAAGGCACGAGTTTCAACCGTGAATTTTGGAGCTTCGACAAGACGGAGGTTTTTTCCCAGAGGTCGGCCTGTTAGCTTAGCTTCTCAGCTTAGCTGCTTTTAACAATATAAAAGCATGATTTTGGCGGTAAAAACAGATTTTAAAGATAAAGGGAGGAGTCAGTGAAGAACACCGGTGTCGAGTCTTTTGTCATCCAGTGTCTTCAGTAGAAAGAGACGTGAAGAAACGATAAAGCTGATAAATGAAAATGAGGTTGATAATTTCAATTAATCGTGCGATTAATTGATTTATTGTTTATCGTGACTGGCCTAATGTCAAATGTCTGAACATCTGAACTTTGTTTCCTTTGCCTGAAGGTCAAACCAGTGAATCTATGAAAACATGTTTCTGATGCAGTTTCCACCCGTTTCCATCTTAGAAGAATATTTAGACTTTGCATGAATAAAGAGTTGGTACTTTAAACTATTTGTTTACGTTTGGTGTAAAAACCAAAGTAGACTGTTGAAAACTAAAATGAGTTCTGGAGCAACACTGTTGTCGTCATTGTGGAAGTCTTATTGATCATAGAGCAGAGCCAGGTGAGCACACTCACCCCCGTCCGCCCGTGCACTGTTCATGCACGTGAGCAGGTTTGGGACAGAACAAAGTCCAGTGGGCAGCAGAGCAGGACCGGCCTTCAGGTCTGTGGAGGAGAACACAGGATGGTCTTCAAACATGACTAGAGGAGGTGTCGACACTTAAACCCACAGCAGGTTCAGATTATTCTTTGTATCAATGAAACTAATTAAAACATCACTTTCACTTTCAGCACAGCCGAAGCAGCTAAATATTTACTGACCACAGCCTGGTAAGTTTATTGTAACTGATCAGTGAAATTCATCAACAATAATAAATTATCTTCAGTTGTCTTTAGCTACGTGCCTCTCAAGTTAGCAAGCTAACGTTCAGATAACCTAGCATAGACTATTGTCTTATAAAACTTTATCCAGAACAATAAATGTAACGCAGAGGTAAAATATATCAGAGTTAGTAACGTTATCTTTGTCGTCCTCACTGAAATACATTGTCTGAAATCTTTACTTCTCTGTAAACAAAAACAAACTGTGCTGTGGTCAACACTAATCACACCTTCATCGTACGTGACGGAACAATGAACAGGAAGGTGTTTGTTTAATTTATATTTATGGAACACACTTGATAACTTTATGGAGAATAGTGGAGGATAGAAAATGTGAACTGTATGTATAGGTGGATGTGATTAGCTTAGCTTCATGGTTGCTAACAGCTGCTCTAAATCAACCTGGCTCCACTCGCTGTGTTCTTAGATTCTTGGGGGTGGACAAAGTTCAAAGATCATCAGCCATTACATCAGTTATCAGCTGATGACTGCTGACAGCGACCTCCAGGATCGGTCTTGGTGAGAGCCAAAACTTCCATACCGGTCGGGCTCTAAATTCAACGTTATTTACTTTTACTGTAAATCTTTAGACACTTAAATTACCCATCAATACAAACACGCAAGCAATTTATATAAGCAAAGATTTTCAACTTCAACCTAATGAATGATGAGGGGGGGGGGGGGGGGTGTCCAGGACTGTCCAAATCAGGACAGTTACAATCATTTTTGACAATGAATCAATGAAAATCTGTTGCGGGGATGGAGAAGTTCACCTCCAGCCTGTTTCACCTGGTTGTCCACCAGACAACCTTGAGGTGAGACGTGGTTGTTGGAGACAAACACAGTTGTCTTGGACCAACAGGAGGCGCTCGTGTCGACCCCCGCTTAGTTCAATCACAGCCTCGTCTTCCATGAACTGCAGACCAAGCAGTTCTTTGCTATATTAATTTTGCACTGTGCTGTGCGGACCCAATTCATTCAAACGAGGGCTGACGTGGGCAGTTATGATAAAGGACGTGTTGCCGTTTCATTCTGATTTAAATGAGCATGACGTCATGATGGAGGACAACCTGCAGTGAACGTAGCATCTATCACAGGCTGTCACCGAATACACCCTCGTTAATGGAGCAGCAGCTACAGCAAGACACGCTGAGAAAAGCACGTTTCTTTCAGCTGCTGCAGGGTCACCACAGCGAGAAGTCCATGAAAGATTCAGCAACTTGTTTTACGCCGGATGTCCTTCCTGACACAACCTGGGATTGAACCCACAACCTCAGGATTACAAGCCCCCTGCACTGACCAGTGACCACTAAACGACCACTGATCTGTTGAAGCTTCTTGTCCTGCTCCACGTTGGATCTGTGTGATGGATCTGTGGGGGCGGGTGCGCACGTCTTCTGCATGTAAAGAAGTAGCACATCCGAGGCCGAACGTTAGAATCTGTTCCAAATAAAACCAACTCTGAGGAAATGGACGTGAAACCACTTAAGGTTTGTCCTCTGGATCATTCGCAACAATCTGAAGTATATTTCTATCAGTTTATACATTATCAATCTGAAATGTGATTATTTGTATTGTTTATAGCTTCATATAATTTCATGTGTGAGGAGGAGGAGGACCTTTGCTCCTGGTTTGTGTTTCCGGTAGGAAGAATTTGTCAGTTACACGCCTGCACTCACCACAGACACACTGTCACTCCCCGATCTGTTACAGAAGCACGATCCGTAGTGGACTTCTGGGTCGCACGGATCGCTGTCGTTTAAGAAAAAATAAATTAATAAAATATATATATATAATTCTGCTTACGGATAAAAACCGTCTTAGTTTACTCAGTAAAGTACGAGCTCTGTCTCCACTGATCTTCATGCAGCTAATATACGCCACTCGTACTTCCGTTACAAATCACTGGTTCACATGATCTGCAACACATAAGACCTGCCTGCCTCCCCCCCCCCCCCCCCCCCCCCCCCCCCCCCCCCCTGGACTGAATGAGAAAAAGCCTGCGAGACACAGAATGGATCATTTCCATGGTGAAGCAGCACCGCTCTGTGTGAAGCTGCAGATCTTTTGAAGCATGACGTCAATATGTCAAAGATTTGAACAGAAATATGAGTGGAGTGAATAAGCAACATGAACATCAGTGGATACAGAACAAACTTTTCTAATTAAACCGTTCTTATCCGTAAACAGAATTATACCAGTACACTTTCCTTAATCTAGTCAACGGCGAGCCGTGCGACCTGGAAGTATTTCTTTTAGCGCATGTGCAACACTTGGGATCAGATTCTGTAACAGAGCAGGGAGTGACACCCCAGTGTTTGAAACACTGACGGCTGAGAGCGGGTCACATGGTTTAAGGGTAGGGACTTTCCACGAGCTGTGATGGTGGGGGTGTGGCCACGCTCTGAAGAGTCGGCTCCATCGCGGCATGTCCGGATGGTCCAGCCGGCTGCGTTGAGTCTTTGCGTGTAAACTAAAGCTGCACACGGAGCAACCGACTGAATGTCCAGAGCTGCCTCAGACCTTCGTGCAGACGACGCTAAATGTTTTGGTGACATGAAGCTCGTTAGTCAATCAACAAAACAACCTCGTAAATTAGCCGCAGCGTTGTGCAAGTCGTTAGGTTCAAAGTCTGTGAAAGAAGTAGCAGCTTATAGTCCAGAAATTACAGCAGTTTGTTTTGTCCACCTTTACAGAATATAAATATTAAAGTTCAGTTGAGAAAAAACTACATTTATCTGGGCTGTAATAATTTACCTCTGGCTCCCCAGAAAACGGTTAAATTCTACTTTTTGTGTGCCTAAAATAATTTACTGTGACAAAGGTGAGCGCAGGTGTTCATGCACCGTCAGAGTTTCAGACCGAACGCAGCGTGACCTCAAACTCTACCTGTGCTTGGGATGGACAGTTCCGGCTTCGTTGGATCCTGGACCTGGGTGCCTGAGGGTGAAGTGCTGGTCAAACTGGTTGGTTTTTCATCTCTACTCGTGCGCTCCTCCTGGAGCTGTGCCTGGCTCCTGTGGTTCTGCTGACTCCTGGGGGGCCATATTGTAGGGCCCATGGGGCAGTTTTTCTGAGCACAGTCCTCTGCTGTGCTCTCAGGATCCTTTTTAACCGTTTGTGTTCCTATGTGGTTTGGCAGATATGGGGTGGGAACGGGGTCTGGGGGGGTTGAACAAGGCTTCAGTCTGTGCTGCAGCTCGGCCTGCCTGTAGGAAGCTGACGTCTTGTAGTCCACGGGCCCATTGGCTTCAGTGGGCTGAAGCTCTGCCAGTGGTCCATTGGGTTTCCTACAGTTCTGACATGGTTCCAGGCTGCATTTACACACACCCAGCTCTGCTGGGGGGTCTCTGGAAGTCAAGGGTCCCAGGGGGTTTAAAGGTAAAGCACAAGGCTTAAAGCAGGGCTCAGAAGAAGTCCTTTCTAAAGAGGCTTGAATCTTCATGCCCTCTGATGAGACGCTCGTCTTCTTGCTGTCCAGCGCTGCCGAGGACTCTGCAGAGCCCGCCTTCTGTTTGACGGACAGGTGTCGCACGATGCTGCACTGGAGCGAGATGACGTCCTGAAGCCACTGCTCAACACACAACACATTCATTACTGGTGGACTCATGGGATTCAGCAACATCCTGTGAGTTTTACTGTGGAGCCACAGTCTCTCATATTAGTGACAGACCATTTTAAATCAGAAGGGACAACTTCAGTGCCATGTTTATGACCTCCACAGCGTGAAGACATCAGAATGTTGTGACAGTCCATCTGTGCAGGACTCAGTTTGCAGCAGCAGATGAATGTACAGTAAAAGTTCTTTTTGACGGGAGGTGTTTGGACCTACCTCCTCCTGCTCGGCCTCGGTGGTGAGGCGTCCAGACGGCTGATGGTCAGGAACGCTGCCACAGATCAGCTCCAGCTGACGCACCCCTGCAGGAAGCAGCATGGAGGGAGGACTCTGGTACTGAGCCTTGATGGCATCTGGCACCTGAAGGAGAGCACACAGCTTCAGATTCTTCAGCATATTGTGTTTTAACTGTCGACCAGCACGTCTCAAACATTCACGGACTTTAAGGTCATTTTAAAGTGCACTGCTGTTAAACACACGTCTTCTCAGAGGACCAGCAGTTTTTAAAGAGTAATCCGTTTGATCAGCCTGAAGACGACAAGCCACAGACCGTAAACGCTCAGCCTGCTGCCTGCACGCTACCTTCATGGTTTTCTTGTTGTGCTGATGAGACGTGCGACGATTTGGAGGATTTCGTCGGTGGACTCGGCGGAGGAAGTCCACCTTGACGGCGTGCTGGGAGATCCTGTCCTGGAACTGGTCGAAGAGCTGGCAGCGGCTGGACAAACTCAGGCTCCTCTGATTCAGCTGGACAGTACACGAGTATGTGAGCAAAACAAGGAAGCGGTCAAAGAACTGTTCATCACTCAGAGGAGGCCGCCTACCACAAGGTGCTCAACGTGATTTGGACACATCCATTTTCCAGCAGGAAAAGCTGTGAGGGGGGGGTCCAGACAGTCCATGTGGAAGAGAAGTGGACAATAATCACACTGGACCAGTGGAGCCAACCTGCAACTCCTGGGAGAAGAAACACAAGTTCACTCTTCTGGTTTAGACACGAGCTGCTTCTGAAGCGTTTCCAGATGCACAGCCTGAAGCCAGATGTTTTATTTACTACTATAAACACACATGAGCCGTTTTAGTTTGTGAACGCTCTTTACAACACTCAGTTTCTGACGGACACTTTGAAGGATGTTAATAAAAGGGTTAAAAGTTTGGACTGCCACGATTCTTCAGCCTACTCAGAAATGATGACGACTCGCCAACCTGGAACATTTGGTTCAGTTCTGGGAGTGGACCTGCGGTCTCTGACAGAGGACGCTGAGGAACCTGCTCCAGATCCTGAACAACACGTCAGTTCCAAACTCCTCCCCCTTTCTACAGAGGACAATAAAATAATCCAAAATAAACACTTTAATGTTTCCGTCTGCACCCGATCCGTTCAGAAATTAATGTTGGTTCTTTAATATTCTCTGTTGTTTTTATATCTTGTGTTATTCCTTGTGTTTGTTCTCTTGAATTGAAACTCTGGCACAACAATTTCCTGAGGTCAATAAAGTTCTATCTTCTCTTCTTTAGTCCAAACACAATTTTCACGAGTTTTAATTTAAAAACAAATCAACTTCATGACAGCTGTTTTCCACACCACACGTCTGCGCTTCAGTCCAGTTCCTGCTGGCTTGTTTCAAAGTGTCATGATGGACAAAGCAGAGTTCACAGCTGCAACCGTGTCCAGATGTTATGCAGATGACTTGCAGCTCTATATCAAAGCAGGTTCATCACTCTCCACCTGTCTTGAGGAGGTAAAAGCCTGGATGGACGCCAACTTTCTCCAATTAAACACGTCACAAACAGAATCAACATCCATCTCTACCATAACCTTCTCTGGCCAGACTGTCCCTGTTCTGATGCAGTGACTAATCTTGGTGTAAGATTTCATTCATCTTATATTTGAATCTCAGATTAAAAATATTTGCAAGACTTCCTTCTTTCATCTCAAAACATCTCCAAACTCCGGCCACTACTCTCGTTTTCTGATGCTGAAAAACTTGTTCGTGCTTTTGTCTCTTCAAGACAGGACGACTGCAACAAACGTTCACATGGAATTCCATCCAAGAAACTTGAGTATGTGCAGAACAGTGCAGCTGGACTCTGATGAAGCAAAGGAACCATGACCACATCATCCCTGCACTGGCTTCCCATTTCACTGACTACAAGGTGTCCTTACTCACCCAGCAGTCCGTTCACAGCGATGCTCCACACTACCTTAAAGAACTGCTCACACATCAACACGGTCCCTCAGCTCCACAAATTCCTACCAGCTCCGCCCTCCCCGGACAAAACTGTGCACCGCGGGTGACACCATGGACGACACCATGGGTGACATCATGGACGACACCATGGCTGACACCATGGGCAACATCATGGACGACACCATGGGTGACATCATGGGCGACATCATGGACGACACCATGGGTGACATCATGGACGACACCATGGGTGACATCATGGACGACATCATGGGTGACATCATGGACGACACCATGGGTGACATCATGGACGACACCATGGACGACACCATGGGTGACATCATGAGTGACATCATGGATGACACCATGGCTGACACCATGGGCGACATCATGGACGACACCATGGGTGAAATCATGGGCGACACCATGGGTGACATCATGGACGACACCATGGGTGACATCATGGGCGACATCATGGGCGACATCATGGACGACACCATGGGTGACATCATGGACGACACCATGGCTGACACCATGGACAACACCATGGGTGACAGAGCTTTCTGCTCCTCGTCTGTGGAACCATCTCCCTGACCATCTAAGGAAACCCCAGACTACAGAAAGTTTGACGAAAGGACTGAAGACCTTCTTATTTGAAATATTTTATTGTGTTTAAAGTTCTTCTTATTCCTGTTGTTGTTAGATTTATTCTCTCTAGCTGTTTAATATTGTAAGAGACAGAAAAATGTAAAGCGCAGTACAAATTGAATCCATTATCATTATTATTATAAGATAAAACAGGACGTTAAATGTTTCCAGAAGCTAAAGGGTTCATCCAGGCCCTAGAGGACCACTACCTGCACGTTCTCTGCTTTGAGGCACCTGATGTGAAGAAACGAGTGATGAACCTGCTGAAACATCTTTAAACCCCGAGGACCAGGACCGGGCACGACTGGTCTTAACTGGCATTTTGTTTGTTCTGGAGTTCTACATGTGAAAACGAGTCACAGTTACTGCAGAGTGGCAGATTAAAAAATGATCTTTAAGACTCTAAAACATGTGCATCAAACTCGAGGCCCAGGGGCCAAATGTGGCCCTTGCTGACATCTTATCTGGCCCCCAAGATGATATTTTAAATGTAAAATACTTTTTGTCTCTCAATTTTTTCAGTAATCTTTGATTATGATGTGAAAAGTTTGGGGGAATTTGTCATTATATTAATTAATTAGTCAATAATGAAAATAAAAACTGCTGATAGTGGCAGCCTTTTAAAACGACTGAATGGTGATCAGACTTATAAAGCCACTGGTGATGACAGAAAACCAGTAAAAAGCTCCGCTCTTATTATTCTACGTCGTGTCATCAGTGTGGAGGCTCGCCCCGTCCTGATTTAGGCAGAACAGCTAATAAAACATGGCGGTCACAGCGCTGTCTCGTGAACCTGCTGCAGACAAAGCTGCTGTTCGTTGCTCCGGCTGGAAACAGACGGTAAAACCAAGTGAGCAGCACTTGGTTCCAAGCCGTCACTGAGGCTCAGCGGATGTTTGCATCGAACCTGTTGCAGCAGAAGCAGACTTTAACAGGAAGAGGGACGAGGCCGTTAGGGTCCAGTTCGTGTTGAGGCCTCCTGAACGGCTTCCCCAGCAGCTCTTCTTTTCTCCTTCGTTTACTGCTGCCTGGAAAACAGAACACAAGACGGAACATGAGCTCAGACGTTCTGCCACGTTCTGCTCAACAACCTGCTGGCTCGTCACACGTCCACTGTTCTGTGAGTTGCAGCTCACTCAAAACACAACTAGTACAAATCCACACGATGAGCGTGAGGACTACTGACCCGAGCCAGTCTGCTGCAGGCCAAAGATCCAGTTTTACCGAGTCCTGTTTCCATCGTATCTACTCTCAAACATCTATCTGTGTTCACAAGGTGCAGCGCTTCATTTAAACACATTCTACTGAAAAACTTCCTGTGGAGCATTCTCATGCAGTCCTTCAGGAACCTGAACTTCTAAAAGGGTCCAGCAGAGTATCAGAGGTCTGAGGGCATTCTGAAGGACTCACCTGGCAGTGCGGTGGTGCAGGTGAGCTCGGTGGGCAGCTGAAACTGCGTGGGGTTTCTCTCCATGGCTGCAGCTATGAGGAGCTGAAAGGGCCTCTTGAGGAGGCGTGGCATCGGAGCGGATGATGTTGCACACTCAGGTTCAGCACCTGGAACATCGTCCTCTGGCTCTGCTACCTCCTCCTCTCCATCGTTCTGCTCCTCCGAGGGAGTCGGCGTGGATGAGGTGTTGGACGTCGGAGTCCCAGGACGGCTACTCGGCCTGCTGCTGGTCCTGCGCTCAAGAAGACGGACCTGCGCCACTCTCAGACCTGGACCTGCCGCCCCGGCACCCGGAGGCAGACCGTCGAGCCGTAATGGGCCGGCGCTGAGCTCCAGCTCCATGGCAGGAGATGCAGAGCGCTTGGACGAGGAGCGCTCTGGAAGGCCATTCGTCTGCTCGTTCTTCTGTTCCCGCTTCTGCAACACACACAACAAACAGCGACTCATCAGCCCATGGAGCCAACAGCGCCAGGGACACTCGTGGTTCTCATGACGTTCTCCACTCACAGAGAAGGAACACCGTCTTACACAAACGGGTCGACTTCTAATCTAGACCGTTTCTGCTGAGGCTGTCCGGCAGTGCCTCGCTGCTTCACTACCATCGTTTTAATCTTGAGTGCAGCAAAACGTCTCACGTCACATGATCAGTTCACACAGAAACAACACAGTTGTTCATTCAGCAGCGTTTCAAGCCACTCACCTTCTTTCGAACGTTACAGCGATGACACATCCACTCTCCGGGGGGAAGCATTTCCTCACTCAGAGGTGGGTTGCTGGGGGGAACAAAACAACCGTCACACACCGAAGCTCTGGAGCGAAATGTGTCAGTGGAACTGATTACTATGAAAGAATTAAGATTTTACTACAGGTTTGTAACAGTGACACCACTAACTCCACCTGGTGGGTAGAGAGCAGAATTACAGGTGAACATGTGCACAAGAAGGAGCTGAATTAGTTTCCAGCAGTTATTCAAACTAGAGCTGCGGACACAATCATTGAACTTCCTGCAGGGAGGAAGAGTCCGTGGAGCGCACCCCAAATAAGAATGGGCTTCAGGTCACACTCGTCACTTTAAAAAACACATTTCTTCAAAATGACAGATTATTCCGTCAATTCTTGAAGTCTAAGAACAATTTTAAACATGTGCAGTACAGACTGCACACAAGACATGGACAGCAGGGAACAAATAACACTTTAAAATAAAGGGAACTATGACTCCATGCACATGATGTTCATTACTCCTTTTTAGAGAAAACAGTAGAATGTGTGTGATCTGCATTTATAAAGAATTATATATAAACTTAGCAGGGCTCACAAAAATGTTTTACAATGAAAATAAAAGCTATAAATATGTCCCAGCGTTGATTCAGGTGAGAAGTGTCACGCTTGTCTGAACAATTAACCCTTGGACTGTTTTACCCGTATTTTTAAAACATCATAACCGAGTCGAATCAGTTCTTCTCATGCTGAACAGTTCATTGATGGCTGACCCTGTGTTAACCTGCATGTGACAAATAAACAACGCAACATCCTGCTAGTTGCTGGAAAACAACAAACAGCATGAAGCCAACAGAGCAATCTAAGCTGTCAATCATCCTGCAAAGCATCTCCTCAGCACATAACACTGTAGATCACTGGCTCTCAAAATGAGGTTCCCGGACCCCTGGGGGGTCCGCAGGTCAGTGCTTGGGGGTCCCCCCAAAAATTTCTTTGATGCTGTTAATTTTATCAAAACAAATTTTTGGAAGTTGAAATTAAAAATGTTGTTAATTAAGTTGCCTTGAATGAAAAATACCCCAAGAAGTATAAAAATTGTATTAACACTATTAAAGAACAGGTCTTAAGTATTTATGTTACACAAATATTTCCACTGCATTAAAGAGACAAACTGAAGATTATTTAATAAACCTGAGGGATATGAGGGGGTCCCTGAAACTTTCTCCCCTGTAACGGGTCTCTAAACCCAAAAAGTTTGAGAAGCCTTGCTTTAGATTCTTTCAAATGTATAAACTATGCAAACCATGACATGACCATATATGGGCATCTTGTTCATCACTTCCAGGGGACAGAGTAAACTCACTTCCTCCTGTGCCCAAGTTACTTTAAACATGTTGGCAGATGTTGCGTGCAGTGGCACCAACATGTTACAGACAAGCTGCCAGACTCAAAACATTTAGTTCACGAACCTTTGGCTCCTCAGCGCCTACATTCAAACAAGATGGCACTGGAAGTGAAACAGAGGTCACCACATTGTAAACAGAGGCGGACCGGACTCCATTTTTAGTTCTGTCCGGCTGCAGATCAACTTTACTTCATTTAAGACAGAACCACGTGCGCTCGCTTCTGATTTCATCTGAACAACAGAACTGGGCTTGACAGCTGTCCAAGAACAACACCACCCACAGACACCCTGACACAACGGGACATCTCCACGCTTTGAGACGGAGTCCTGCTCTGAAGACAACGCTTGGAACAACCAGGGCCTTCAAACTTTGACCTGAGCTGATGAGCAGCAAGTGAAGCTGTGATCACTACCGTAATGTTTTTACAGTGACACTTTGATCACTACCGTAATGTTTTTACAGT